GAGGAAGGGAGAGAGAGAGAGCCTAAGATGGAAGCTGCAATCTTCTATAATCTATTCTTGGAAGTGATATCACTTCTGCTATCTGCTATTAGTCATATAGACCAACAGTGGCACAATGTGGGAGAGAATCACATACAGGTGAGAATACTAGGTGGTGAGTGAGAATCATTGCAGGTCACTTTGTATGCTGGCTATTACAGTAAATGTGCTTTTATATTTACATATGTATATATTTTCTATATAATTTTAAAACATAGGATTGTTTTCCTTTTCTTTTTGTTATATGTAATATCTTTCAAAATGGATCCCTAGTATTTATATCTGAAAAGTATTGTGCCAAATAACTTTCTACAATGACTTTGTATAATAAAAATTAAATCGTTTAATAATCTCTACTTTTGTTCTGTAGCTGTTCCTACTTGCTTTGAAACCCTGGTCTCAAAAAATATTCGAGTTGCAAAAAAAGGAAAGAAATTTAACAATTGCAAAATGCAAAAATGCCCCGGCTGGATTCCATGGCCCCTTCACCCTTGTTTCCTGGAGCCAAGGAATGCCCCACCCGTCGCACCCTCAAAAGACGGTCGCTAATTTTCAGCCCTTGACAGCTACTCAGAACCCTGCTCAGAACCCTGCTCAGTGTATTCAGCCATCCATGTGTAGAGGCACCAACAAAAGCTGTGTTTATTTTTAAGATATTTGAACTCTATTTTATTATGCTGAGGTATAATAATAAGTATTTTTCAAGTATGAACTGTTAAAAGATAAACCGGCATATTAAAAATGAGTCCATTCGAACAAAAATTGATTTGACTGGGGCAGCGCAAAACCGGAAGTGGTTAGGAGAGAGCCATCTACAGAAGTTAGGGGCAGAACTTTTATAAAGAAGACGCTAAAGCAAAGCAGGAAATTATCTGACTGGTGATAGCTTAAGGGGTTGCCTTATTTGGAAAGCCTCATTGGCTATTTGAGATTGCTGGTCCTTAGGTTTTGATTTCTTAACCTGGAGGCATTTACAAGCTTAGATTTTGGTTTGCTTACATAAACTGCAGAGGGTATTAGAACCACCTCAATCTAATAGCTTCCTTGTTTAATTAACACTATTAACAGTCAGGTACTTTCTCGTGCTAAACAATCCTATTAAGCAAGCATTATTACCTTCATTTTAAAAGGATAACACTGAGGCTAAGAGAGTTAAGTAACACTTCAAAGTCAACAAATAATAAGTGGTTCAGCTGGGATAAAACTTTCAGCTTCTTTTCTGCCAAATGTATGTACTCTTTCACTGTAATATACTTTTTTTTTTTTTTTTAGAATATGTGTTAGGATTGGCTAGGTTATGGTATAGTAACAAATAATACTAACAATCTCATGATTAATAAAACGAAAGCTTATTTCTTGCTCATTTAGAGTCTAGTCCAGGGCAGCTAGCTTTTGCATCATATATAGTGCAGAAACCCAGGCTTTTTTCATTTGCGTCATCTCCTTATCAATCTGTGCTCCCATAATTTCTGGAGCATGAGAAAAGAATATGGAGAAATTACACACTGCCTCTTAAATGCTTTCATCCAATAATACATGTCATTTCCATTCATATTTTATTGGCCAAAGCAAGTGATATTGCATGTCAAATTTAAATAGGTAGGTGGTATAATTTCTCTGTATGTCCAGGAAAAGGAAGAGATTCATAAATATTGGTTAGCACTTTAATGCCTATCACTAACTGTAGGTTCCTCAAAGGCATGCATCTTACATTCTTCCTCAAATTTAGCATACAGAAATCTATTTGATTTATGAATAGATTAATGATTAATGTCTGCCATGAATCATCAGGGGTGCTATTTATAATTCCTTTATTCTCTAACCTATAGTTCGATTATATTCCTTGCCTCCTGTCCCATTGCTTTGTTGTCAGCCTGGTGTATCTGCGAACTGCAAGCTAATACCACCAATTTCTTCACACTTTTCTCCCCCTTTCCATTGATCTGAAGGCAACTTTGTTTTATGTATAGTATTTTACAGTTCAGAAAACATTTTAAGACACATTTTTAAAAATTTCACAAAGTAGGCACATTTTACCATAGAGAGCAAAATATTGTGTTCAAATCTCCTAACTTAGTGTATTAGACTCTCAGACTAGAATCTTTAACTTCATGTCCCATGCTTTCTCCAGCATTCCAGGTTACTAGTGTTTACTTACATAGCCATGTTAGACTGTGGCTTCCTGAAGGACTTAATTTTAATCCTGTTTGATTGAAGTTCTGGAAACTTATTTTTATGCTTATTGATTATTAAAGCCAGATTTTAATTGCACTCTAACCTTTATAAGAGCAATATGCCACATTCCTCATAATCAATCTTGCAGCTTTAATAGTCATAGTTTGATAGGGTGAAGGCTAAGGCGAAAGTATATAATCGATATTAAAACATATATATATATATATATCTCATATATATATATATCTGAGATATATATATATATATCTCAGAACAAAGATTGAACTTAATCGATCATATCTGTTGATAAGGCAAGGAGAATAAAAGTTTTCCGTGAGACATGGAGAGAAGACTGCCATCAAGAGTGGAAAAATTTCAGACTTGGGAGGTAAATTTAGAAGGATCAATGAAAATGTATTAACAGAAGAGTGAGCCTTTTTAATCTTTCTATTTTGAAATCAGTTCCATATGGTGGTTCAGCCACTGAAATACAGCAAGAGCTATTAACAGTGTTAATAGCTTTTGAGCCATCAAAACCTTCTAGAAACTTTGAATTTCTGCCAAAGCAAATAAGGCCCACCTGCCAGTATGGTGGTAGAGTATCAGATAAAAAGTTACTGTTTGGGCAATGTGCTTTGTAGACATGTTGATTGAATAAACTTTGAATTGAATTATGAAAATATGAGTATCACAAAATACTGTTTTAACAAATTACCATGTCGATTTAACTGAAATTAATTGTGAACCAGCTAATTTTTTTTCTTCTCTATGATAAAGTTTCATCTTGCTCTATCAAGGACCATTAACTGAAGTTTTATTTGCTATCACAAAATGGGTAAAATTAATAGAAAGTCTGCCATTGTGTATATCCAGTTATAATTGTAGAGATGGATTATAAAAGCATTGTAGCAAGAAGATAAAATCTGATAGCCTGAAAAATTTCCCTAATTTAAGCTGCACTAAATATATAAAAGTCATCTTAAGAGATTGTTGATAAAAATATACTGTAATAATTGTAGCGACTAACACAATGACAAATACTATTTTTAAATGTTTTAAAATTACTGTTAATATGTTATTATCACCTCAGCTTAGCTTGTAATTAATAAGATCCCTCTGCTATAAATAGAATTGTTTAAGTAAAGTTTTCATTAATATAGTTATTTCAGTTTTTCCTATTCAGCTGTTTTGAGGGTCTGCAGGAGAGGGAGAAATCAGCTATAAGGAAGGCAAACTCTTCATTCGAACTTTTCTCCCCAAATTCTTGGTAGTTTTTAGGAGCTTGAAACTCTGGAGTCAGACAAATCTGGAATCAAATTCCAGTGTTGCCTCTCAGTAGTAACTTAACTTATCTCATTCTCACTTCCTTTCTTTGTAAGGCAATGATAAACGTAGTATTCATTATTTAGTTGTTATGTGAATAAACCAGAGATTTCAAATGTGATGAATTTAGCCCAGTGATGAGTACAGGTTCAATAAAATAGTTCCTACTCCTCGTTCTCTCTCTCTCTCTTTTTTCTATTTTTTAAAAATTTATTTACTTATTTTTTTATGGTGACATTAGTTAACGAAATCCAATAAGTTTCAGTTGTACACTTTAACAGTAAGGCATATATATACACTGTGTTTACCTCCCATAGTTAGATTTCTTTCTGTCACCACATATTTGACCCACTTTACCCTGTCTACCTCCCCGCTCCCTCCTCATTCTACCTTTTTTTCCTCCTCTTTCTCCTCTTCCTTCTTTCCTCCTTCACCTCTCCTCTTTGTCCTCTCTTTTCTCCCTATTATTTTTGTTTATTCTTAGGCTGTGCCCACATGAGCAGCATGTTCAAATTCTGTCTTCAAGATTTCCTAAGATACAACGAAGGTTCCGAGTAGCACACTGTGGGAGATGCACTATTACAAATTGTTACCCTAGTTTACTTACTCTCAACCCCATCTCATGGGGAAAAATAGTGAGAAGGATGAGGTTACTTCATACTAGGTCATTCCAGTCTAGGGCCCTTGGGAGGAAGGAGGAGCAACCCAATATAAAATACTCACATCCCACAAAAATTTGCAGGACGCTGCCCTCTATTGGTCCATGTGAATATAATATCTGGGCCAGAGATTCAAGTTCAGTAAGATCATTCAAGGTGTAGTGTTTGACGATGGGTTCAGAAAGAGAAAATATCCTTCCTGAAATGTATAAGCTGAATGTCTCATTATATTTTATTTTTCTATTTGTGGTAGCCAAAGAATAGATATATAGACAATCTTCTAAAGCTCTTTCCTGTAATATTCATGAAACTATTCAGAGTTATAGCATCAAGATGATTTTATTTATCAGTCAACCTATTCTTTAAAAGGAGTTTTGGGAGATTTATGAGACCTGCTAACAATTAATCTGTCCTCAGAACTCTGAACACAGTTTTTGAAGTACCATTTCGCTTTTTAGCCTCCATACTATTTATTATTGGCTTCCATAACTATTATTTATTGAGTTTCTAAGTTCCAGGAGTGTGTTAAGCCTTAGCATATTCCACATATGCTAAGATATTTGATCTAAATGCTCTAGATATGCTAAAGTGTTTAGATATAAGTGCTCTAGATATAATATTCAGCTCCAACTTAGGGATCTTCATGAAGTATTCTATATCATCAATCAAGTAAGTAGCTGTTGGATATCAGGCCCACAGATGGCTTCATGTCTTTTGCAAGGCTACTAATAAAAAGCATTGTTGTCAAGTTCTACATTTAAATACTCTCAGCTAATCATAATGATTATTTGTGCTGAACTCTATTGTAGATTAAGTTTTAATAAAATATATAATTTACTCTTCTTCCTAGTCAAGAAATGGATAGATTGTACAAAGCTACCCCCTTTGTGTCCCCCCCCCTTGGGGGGTAGGGGGGGTATGGGTCTAGTTCCTGTCTGTTTTTCATACTGCAAGTTCAGAAACTTAGTTGTCTCAATTCTACCGGAAGTGACCGGGCTCTAAGAAATTGAGACACTTTAACTAAACTTGCCAGTTTATAAACCAGAGTGAGTCTAGTTGTTTATGTAATGGGAGAAATAAAATGGCAGCACAGAGAGATGGAACTTTGGATTTAGGCCTACCTTTGATTCCCAGCTTTGCCACTTGCTGTTGTGAGTCCAAATTTCTCGATTGCTTTGAGCATCAGTCTATATTTCCACAGTCTCAGGATTGGCAAGATTAAAAGTGACAGCATAATATAAGGTCTGGCATACTGGAGTGATTGATTGCTTATTATTAAGCCAGTTGGATACTTATTTCAGAACAGCAGCAACTTCATGATATAAAACTTGCTTGAGAAACCCAAATAATACATATGTCTGTTTGCTAAAAATCATTTAAAAATTAGGGTAAAGGAATTTATGTTCTTATGAGTACTTTTCAGGATGGTTTGTTGTATCGGCTTTTTCCGCAATAGGAATGGCGCTGCCCAACTGACCATATACATATCCCATGTCAAAAAAGGCTAAGTTCTACACAATGCCAGTGCTATGCCATGATGTCAGGGGCTTGAAGCCATATCCTTTATACCAAGACCTTTTCCCCTCCTACTCCAAATTCTACAAGTTGAGACTTTTTTATGTATCGAACACCTGATTTGCTTAAGTCCTTTTAATGGTAAATATCTCTGGGCATGTTCGATTCCCTGTAATAAATCTCTTTCTATGTATATATACAACTTGTTGGTTCTGTTTTTCCGGAGAACCCTGACTCATACATACATGTTCTCAAGATAAACAATAACTAGTCCTCAAGTAAGAGGGCTGATAGCACCATCTGTGACATATAGTTTATCCTAAATTCACCATCTGTGTTAGCTAATTGGCTTTCACCAAATGAAAAATAAAGTTCTTTTTATATCAAAGGGTAGTTTTGTACCTTGGAAGTGAGGTGTCCACTGAAATTAGGCTCTTATCATCTTGTAAAAACTAGCAGATAGGAGAATTACCTTTCTTAATGATAATATTTTAAAGGGATTGTTCCCAACCTTTAATATTTAGGAATTCTGAAGCAGGAGTTATATTCACCCAGTAAAAAATCAACTTTACTCAGTAAAAGGTAATTTTATTTTCTGCTCTTTTGTTTGCTTTTGCTATTGCAGCTTTTGTTAATGGCTATTTATATTACAGATCACCCATTGTGTGGTGTCATTGTTTCTGTGGTGTCAGTGTAACTCCAAGGAAGGAGAATGGGGTAATAAATCTCAAGGGCTTCTTTCAGAAATGCTTTAATCAATTAGTCATTGCCATAAAAATGTGGTGTAACAAACCACCCCAAAACTTTATAGCTTAGAAAATAGCAACTTATGTTCATGAATCTGTAGGGTCAGTTAGAATGGCTCTGCCATATGCTGCATATCTTTATGCCTCAGTTCATTCCACATGTCCTTCATCCTCCTTGGACAAATGGGCTTTGTTGGAGCATGTTCTCTTCACAGGGATGACACAGAGGACATTCATAAACATGTGAGTACTTCTAATGACTAGGTTTGGAACTGGCACACTTTTGTTTCTGTCTACCTTCTTTTAGCCAAAACAAGTCAAATGGCAAAGCTCAAGTTCAAAGGATAGGGAAATACCTTCCACTCCCAATGAAGTGAAGAAAAAGGTATAGATGCTAGTAGAGTAAGAACTGAAAACAATAATCAATCTATTGTAATGATCCTATGATTTTCTGTGGCAGAATAACAAATAATTGTAGATGAGAAACTGTACTTGTTCAACTATTCATTTTGCTATATTGAAGGCTCTAGCTCCCTGTATAAGGAGAAGATCGTTTTGGAAGTTTTATATATAGAGATTAAAAAATTATTGGAGTAAATATGTGTGATCCTATAGCCTCTAAAGCAGTGTTTTTCTTATTGTGATTAGTAACATTATTGAGGTGTAAATCCCGCTAACTTAAAAAAATAAAATAGAAAATAATCAGAGTGAATTAAATGTGGTAAGGGTATTTTTTAATGAAAACATTTGTTTCTGCTATGGATGTATACCTACATATGTTTGAGTAAGGATTTAAGATGCATTTCTTCTTATTGTGGTTTAAAAAATGTTTGAAAGCCACTGCTTTAAAGTATTTTCTAACTATAGGATGTTATTGAGTTTAATTTCTACTTTTAGAAATATTCCTTTTGTGGTATAAGTCATCTGTTTTGAAAATGACTGCTTTTTTTTTTTCCCCAGTGCTACTTATTTCCATTGTTCTGATGTCTAATACAGGAGTATTTTTCTTTCAAATCAATCAACAATTAAAGCAGTTTCAATGAATATGTGCTTTCATTTATATGCTGTTACTCATGACTGTGGTTACTGGTGATTCATGCTTAGATTATTTTTAAAATAATGGTAATATTTACCTTCTCTATTTAGTTTGCTCAATGCTAGCTTCCTGATACTGGTTTAGAATAAAAGCACCTCCCAGTTGTATTCCTTGATAATATACTCTTACCTTGTTTCAGAAAAATTTATTATCAGTTTATCTTTTTCAAATTTTAATGTTTGTGTCACCCTGTCTCTGTTAACTGTGGCCTATCATAGAGTAGCAGTGGCTCTAGCCCGCAGCAGCTGTCACATCTCCTCCCAAAGACAGTGTTTTCCCTGTCTGCTCATCTGCTCTCTCTGGTCACTCTTACCTGAGAAGGTAGGTCTGAATGCACAGAACAGCCATGTACATCAGCTTGTAGAGACTAGCCTGCAGGTCTAGGTAATCTTTTACAGGGAGAATGCTTGAAAGAATAGGACTTATCAATGGTTTGGTATTTATTCATACATTAATTTTAGGATTATTTATTGTGAAGATTAACAAGGTTTCTGTAATTTAGTTACTTAATACCTGCTTTAGTAAGTAAAGTTAAAAATATATTTTTAAATATAGTTATCTTTATATGTGTTTTTAAAATAGGTCACTTTTATGAAAAATTCACCCTATGGAAAGCTAGAAAATTTGAAAAGTTAAAACATGATTTTTTATCTCCTTTTCTTGGACATAAATAAGAAAATCCATGTTGTGTACTTGGCTAATTTTAACATAATAAAAAGAGACTTTTATAGAATTTTTTACAAGTTTTTAAACTAAAATATATTTTATTATTACTATATACTAAACTATAGAACTAAAATCTTATTTGCACAAATATTATTTGGTAGGAAAAATCCTGGCACATTTCAAAACGACTTCCTACTTTGTGCGTGTGTGTGTGTGTGTGTGTGTGTGTGTGTGTACATATGTGTGTGGTGTGCGTGTATACATGCCATAGAGTGGCAGTGGCTCTAGCCCGCAGCAGCAGTCACATCTCCTCCCAAAGGCAGTCTTTCCCCTGTCTGTAGATCAATTAACTTAAGAATCTTTCAGTTACAATTACCTAAATCTGACACATGTTATCTTATGCATGTCTACATAGCAGAAACACTTTCAAGTATAATCTATTGATCATAATATTGCTGGAGATTGTTTTTCTCTTATCTATCAATCTGCGTTGATGTGTAAGTAAACAAATGGATTTTGCCATGTTTCCTGTTTCTCTAGGATGGAAAGAGTTTGTTTCCAGTGATGTTCTATCTCAAGAATCATGACTTAAACATTTGAAAATTCTGTTTCCCCATCCCCTTTCTCTCTTTTAAAATATCTGTTTCAAAAATAATCTTAGTATTTTAATGAAGAATACTGGATAAGTTACAGAGCTGCAATCATATTTTTAGAATATAATTATTATCAAGTTCATTTCTAATTTTTTCCCCAAGTTTATAGGGTAGAACAAAAGCAGGATATCGGTTTAGTTCAGAAATTTGGCAAAAATTTGATTTTGATATGAAAGTAAAATAGATAAATAACTCATGTAAAGAATTATACAAATGAAAGAAGCACAAATAATATAAATGTATTAATAATTATTCACTAATGGGTTTTTTAAAGTTCCATTTGAAACATTTTGAGACAATACATTTAATTTTATTGAACATCTTTTCTAGTTATAAAAATGAAATGTTCTCATAGTAGAAAACTTGGAATATGTAGAAATTATAGAGAAGAAATAGAACTCACTTGTTATTTCACCACCAGAGCAAGAAAAATTATTGCTAAAATTTGATATTTTCTCTCCATTTTGTTTATTTATTTTTTGGTTTCAATCTCACTATCTCTGAGTAAGTGATATTGAGAATTTGAAGTATGCCATTCTATACCTATCTTCCATGATTATATAAACGTGTGTGTGTGTGTGGCCCTATATATGGTATTTCAAAACACTACGCAAATTTTTTTCTTTAGTTGACAAGATATCATTGAGATCTTTCTGTCTCTATATGGAAAGAATGAACTCATTTAATTTAACATCTTTCTAAACATGCATATTTACAGATATACATACATCTGATAGACTTTTATTTTTTGCCTTTGTTGTTGTTACAAGAATGATTGCAGTAAACTTTTGCTGGGTTAAACAATACAGTCATTTTAAACTTTAAAAAATGTTGCTGGAGAAACTTTCTAAAATCAAATTATTTACTTATTTATTTATTTGGAGAGGCAACCCTTGGTCGACCTCACAGATTGCAAGGACCTTGTCAACTTACAATCTCTTATTTTTTAGTTTTTACGTCTACAACACCAGGTCTTCCTAGATAGTCTCCCATCCAAGTACTAACCAGGCCTGACCCTGCTTATAAAATTAAATTATTAGTTCTGCATCATGTGATCCAGTCAAGAAAATTAACTTGTCACCCCTCACCAACCTTGATTATAGCTGGAGGTTAGTGACAGTTGAGAATTTAAGTTACAGGTTAATATTAAGTGTTTTCTTGAAATTTATTTTTTCATTTCAAAAATCTTTAATTAACAAGCTTTGCATTGTGTCCTATTATCATAATCCTGTTTGATTTAAACTAAATCTTAACTTAGATACACTATTGTTGCTTTTATTCATTTCTTTCCATTTAAAAATTTTTGTTTTGATTTAATTTTTATAATGTTAGAGTATTTCTTGTAGTTTCATAGAAGGTGATCACAAATGTGTATTTGTTATCTTTCTTTTACTTTCATATGATTATTGTTTTGGCTGAATATAAGATCATTAAATTGCCATTCTATTTCCGTAATTGTTTCTAAGCTCATGCCAATGCCCTCTGGCTTTCAAAATTACAGATGAGAAGTCCTATGCAAGCCTGAGTTTCTTTCTCTTTCTTTCTTTCTCTCTCTTTCTTTCTTTCTTTCTTTCTTTCTTTCTTTCTTTCTTTCTTTCTTTCTTTCTTTTTTCTTTTTCTTTCTTTCTTTCTTTCTTTCTTTCTTTCTTTCTTTCTTTCTTTCTTTTTCTTTCTTTCTTTCTTCTTTCTTTTTCTCTTTCTTTCTTGGGGAGATAGCTCCAGGCCCTTGCTCTGTGGCTGCTGGGAATGGGGCCCTGCTCACAGCATGGAATTAGCACTCTGGCTAACCCCACAAGGAGTCCTGTTCAAGCACCTCTAGAGGCAGAGGATTCCTTCCTTCCTTCCTTCCTTTCTTCCTTCCACAGCTTTATTGAGGTATAATTGATACGCAAAGAACTGCACATATTTAAGGTCTACATTTTAATAGGTTTGGACATGTGGAAACACCACTTCCACAATGAAGGAATTTCTGTCTGGATGCCTGTAAGATTTTCTTCTTTATCTTTGGAATTCAGAACCAGGCTAAGCGTATGTGCCTAAATTATTACGGGTCCCAAGGAGCACAGAAATGAGCTCATGAATTCCTCAGATCTTTTGTTCATTCGTTCAATCTTTTATTCATTTTTAAATATTCTAGACATTTTCCAGACATCTCTAGACTCTGGGGCTATAGCAATTCACTCCCTTCTAACATACTACCTCTATTTATTTCATTTTATCTTATCATTTCTCCCCCTATATCCCTTTCCCCACTTTTTCCTCTGGCTATAGTGACCTTCTAAAGTGCATCTTTTTTATATTAATTTAAATATATGCATGTTCTTGAAAAAGCTTTATGATGTTTCTCATACCTTCCCTTAACATGCCCTTAACGTAGCCCTTGGATGTTTACTCATTCAGTTAACACTATGCACAAGCAAGATTGTCTTTCCTAAAAGATAATTGTATCTGAAATTCATAAACTTTATTCATACTTTTACCAATGAAAACTTCACATCTGAATCATTTCTTTTTTAGCTTTTCACCATAAGTCCAAAATTACTTCATAGAACTTGTCTTCTGAACATCAATGGAAAACCGCCCCCCCCCAAAAAAAACTTAGCTTATACATATCACAGAACTTCAAATTTGCAGCTCTTTCCTGCCTTTTTATAAGATCAGCATGGCCATGGGAGTGTGAGATAAAATGGAGTAGAGGACATTCTCAATGGAAGACAGAGGGTTAAGAAGCTGAAAGTCCAGTATTAGATCATTTATGTGGACAACAAAATTATCAAGAATTTTGGTGGTAGTAGCCTTGGAGAGAGTGACAGTAGGTCAGAAGCTAACATCTTTAAGAAATAAAGAAAAATGACTTGGGAATCTATAAATGTCTGCAGAAGAAGAGATATAGTTTAAACACAGAATTTCAAAGCTTGCAAGGGGTAAAGGTTAGAAAGGAAGGTGGGACAATGATCTGCAATGGCAATGAGTGCAAGAGGACTCTTACTTTTTCTCCAGGTCCTATGGTATAATGGGGGGCTAGGGATGCAGGAAAGAAAATAGATACCTTTGTCAAGGCCTCAGGGGATAAAGTATCCTTAGAGGAGAAACAATTTTAGTTAGAACAAAGTGAGAACAAAGAAAATTTAGAAAAGAATTTTGAGAGTGTAGGGTAATAAATGAACATGAGCTCCAAAGGGCACATTTAGAAGGATTTATGGTAGTAATAGCAGATTAGGACGTGGGTTCAGTTTAGAAGTTGTATACAACAGTATGGAGATGAGAGACTATGGGAGCAATTAGGATGGGTGCTTAATAAAACCAGTGACAAAAGGCCTGGGGGTATTAGTAGTGATGGCCTTTTATTGAGAGCTTACTACCAGTGAGTTCCTTTCCTGCTAGACAAATCTATTTTAAACTATAACTCCAACCAATATATTTTTAATTCATATGTGATTTTCAAACATTAGGTGATTATATAATTTTCATAGAACTGTTTGCTTAACTAGATAATCAAAGAGAGATTTATTAACTTTCCATACTATTATTGCATGTTCAACTTGGATAATTTGTATATACAGATAATTATCATTTCTAGCTAGCTAAATTCTTAAAGCTAAAAGAAAAGAAACAAAACCACTATTACGTCATGTTTTTAGATAAGCATTCAAATCATAATATCATCATAGGACATTTATTTAAACAAGTAAGCCTAAAAATAAATTATAATACTAAAAATACTAACACAAAAATGATGCGTAATATTTTTAAGCTGGCAAGCAAATTGTTTAATTGAAGTGTCATTAATATTAACAATTTCCAAGATATTATACTTAAGGCTCTATTTGTCTGAAATCAGGATGTACAAACATGAGGAGAAAGCCTCAGAGGTGTTTGTTTTTATCTGAGAAACTAACATTTCAGGTGCAGAAAGAACAATGCATACAAAGTTGTCAAATGACTTTTTCATCTTCTGTGAATTTAGTCTTTAAAAATTGAACAAGTTTTTTCTCCCCTATTTCTTTTACTTC